CGCGTCAGAAGCCGCCGCAGCGGAGGGACGCCGCACGATGGAAAAAGCCGCTCGGGAGGCACGCGAGGGGTCGCGGAAGCTTAACACGCTGAGTTATCTGGAACGGAAGAAAATTCTGCTGGAGGTGGCCAATGCGTTGGACACCAATCGTGACAAAATATTGGACGCAAATGCCGTGGACCTGCGAGTGGCGGTGGAGAGCAACCTTGCGCCTTCACTGCTGAAGCGTCTGGAACTGACTCATGGCAAAATTGACACGGTTGTGTCTGGCATAAAGGCGATTGCGGAGGACAAGGATCCTCTTGCTCGTGTGCTTAGTGCTCGTATGTTGGATCAGAATCTCGTGCTCTGCAAGGAGACGGCGTCCATCGGTGTTCTTCTTGTCATCTTTGAGTCTCGACCGGACAGCATGCCACAGATTGCAGCGTTGGCTCTCTCGTCTGGCAACGGTTTGCTCCTGAAGGGTGGTCGAGAGGCCGAACACTCCAATGCAGCGATCCACTCCGTGATTGTGGGGGCCGTGACGAAGGCCTCGGAGGGGAAAGTTCCCTCTGGTGTTATCAGCCTTGTCACAAGTCGTGCCGACGTTTACGAACTGCTGAAACTGGAGGGATTTATCGATCTTGTGATTCCACGTGGCTCAAATGAGATGGTGCGAAACATTCAACGGTCAACAAACATTCCGGTCCTCGGACACGCCGATGGCATCTGCCACGTGTATGTCCACCCTGACGCTGATATGAATATGGCCGCTAAAGTCATCATTGACGCCAAGCTGAATTACCCAGCTGCGTGCAATGCCGCGGAAACGGTGCTCTTTCATCGGGCCACAGTGGAGAATGGGAACGCGAAAATTCTTGTGGAGAAGATGAAGGAAGCTGGAATCAAGATATATGGCGGGCCCAAGGCGATTGGAGCGTCCCTTGCGCGTGCTGGGGCAGCGTCCATGCATACTGAATACGGTGACGAGCAAATAACGGTGGAGGTTGTGGAGGATATGGATGCCGCCGTGGATCACATCAATAAATATGGTTCCCACCATACAGAATGTATCCTCACCTCCAATGTTGATACAGCCAGTGACTTTGTAAGGCGTGTGGATTCTGCTTGTGTTTTTCACAACTGCTCGACACGTTTTGCGGATGGCTACCGCTTTGGGCTTGGTGCTGAAGTGGGCATCAGCACCGGCCGGATTCATGCGCGTGGGCCTGTGGGAGTGGAGGGGTTGTTGACACAAAAATGGGTGCTGCGACCGATAGACCCCGAATTGTACGCAACTGTTGCCGAGTTTCAAAGCGGCGAGCGCACCTTCACACATGAAGACATTACGAATGCTATGATATTGCAGGAGGAAAATTAAGAGGTAATGAATCAAATAGTGGAAAAAGGAAGGACAAAATAAAAGAAAAAATAACCCTTGCGTTGGGAGAGGGACAGGGTTTAAAGGGGAAAAGGAAGAGGGGATTGTTTGATGAAGGGGCGTCTGCACACGCTTACACTTCTGGGAAAAGTATCTACTTTGGATGTTTTTTTTTTTTTTTTCGTTTTTGTTTGACCTAATTGGCGAAATGCCTTTTTTTTTTTTTTGTGGGTGGGGATGACGGATATCTCAAATTGCAAATGAGACAAAGAAGGCGAGGTGCTAAGGTGCGTGATCGTCAGAAATGTGGGGTTTACGCAGTGTGTTTGTGTGTGTTTGTATTTTATTTGAGCTGTATTATTTCAGCTTGCGTGGTACAAACAAATGCCTGTGAACGGAAAGAATAGGACGCGAAGGAGACATAGACAGACAGGCAGGGAAAGAGGGAGCATTGGCGTTCCAAGCGCGCCGCAGGATGTTATGTACATTGAGTGCCTCTGTGGACTCTCTCTCTCTTTCTCCCTTTCTTAATCCTTTTTTTTCTTTTGTATGTGAATGAGTGGACTCCCTTTTTGATTAATTTTGCCTGTATGTCTGTTTAATTGCGTACATGGGCATGAGAGTGAGGCGAAAAAAAAAGAGGATATATTTGCTGGCAGTGATGAGCGATGGTATTGCGACTTCTGCTGTCAGTCGATGTTTTTTTTTTTTTTTGCCTTGCTATTAGGGCCACTCTGTGGCTTCTCACTCCTCCTGTTTCTCAGCGCGAACCGTATTTTTTCATTATTATTTTTTTCTTGCTTTTCTTTAGCCACAATTTTAAGGACTGCGCGCGTGTGTTCAGAGAAAAGGAAAAGGAAAAGGAAAAGAAGGGAACAACAAGTTTTTTTTTTCTCCCAATGAGCGTGTCGACAGTGCGGCGGGGCTTTTCATTTGACCCTGCGGCAGCGCTCACTGGCAAAGAGACATATCAGGATGCGGTGCGTATGGAGATTCAGGCCGCGACACTCGAGGCAGCTGGGAAGAACATGGAATGTCTTCAACTGCTGGAGAAGGCACTGCAAGTTCGATGCCAGGAGCGCCCAATGAGCGCCACGATGCCCATGTATATTGACGAGGTCTGCGATGCAGCGGAGCGTCTCATAACAAAGACGAATGCGTACGGCGTAAAGTGCTTTAAGGAAGACGATTACGAGACGGCCTCCGTATTGTTTGACTATGGAATGCAAATGACGGAGGCTGACTCCTTCCCGCTGCGGGAATCCGATGATCGGCGACGATATCTTCGGGGGGTGACGCTAAATAACTACGGTTGTATGGAGCGACGTCGTGGACACTTTTCAGAGGCTCTTTCATTCATGCAGCGTTCGATGAAGTGCACGGGAGAGCAGTCGCCTGTGGCATTTCTCAACATAAGTGCCGTCCAGACGCAGTTGCGACTGTGCGAGGAAGCCGTGGAGAGTGCAATGCGGGCGATGCAGAATCTTGGATCCGCCCCCGAGGAATCCACTCTGCTCGCCGCGGCGCACCACAACCTTGCCGTGGCTCTTGAACCACTTGACGCCACGCGTGCGCTCGAGGAATATCAATCCGCGTTGAGCCTGGCGCAGCAGACGATGGGGCTCACAAACGAGACGACATTGGCGATCGAACAAAACATGATGCGCTTCCTCCAGGCACACAAAATGGTCGAGGCCGAAAGCTGCCGAGTTTCTACTGCAGGGCACATTTTTAGAGGTTCCATCTGCGGTGGAAGGTTGTCAGTGCACCAGGCGCGTCAGAAATCCCCGTTGAGTCAATCCAAGCACCCCGAGTTGGAGCCCAAAGACATCTTTCCCCACCCCTTTGTGCTCAGCGCGGCAGATCCCGTGGTACAACGAAAAGTTAATGCGACACCCATGTACCATCCTCCACGGGTTCAACGGAGGTCCCCGGCGTTGTTGGCATCGACAAAAAGACTCCCCTTAAAAAAGGATGAGCCGGACCACACGTATTCGCAGGTTCGAAAAGATCAAAGTTTTGTTTCCCGATCGACGCCGCCACGACGACAAGAAACCCAGCGAAGGCAGACTCCGCCGAAACCATCCAGACTACCGCCTGTGGCATCCTCTTTTCAGGGACCTGCGCGCAACTCCAATTTCACGGCGCCAGCAGGGGAGAATCGACATGGTCAGGAGGGCGGTCGAGTTACGCCGAGGCAAAGCGCGGTGACACCACCGATGAGAAAGTCATCCACGATTCCACTGCCCGGGATTTCTTCGAACACCAAAGGTTTTGGCAACTCTGCAACCGGCAAGGGCGTGCCAGTTGTAAAAGGCTCTCACAAAGTTTCTGCACCTTTATCCAAAACGCCTGCAAGGCCGACTGCGGCTAACCCGACGACTCCCCAGTTCAACAGACACTCCGAAAATGCAGACAATGTACGCAGCCCGTTGAAAAGACACCCTGCAAATGCAGATAATGTACACAGCCCGTTGAAAAGACACTCCGAAAATGCAGATAATGTACGCAGCCCGTTGAAAAGACACTCCGAAAATGCAGATAATGTACGCAGCCCGTTGAAAAGACACCCTGCAAATGCAGATAATGTACGCAGCCCGTTGAAAAGACACTCCGAAAATGCAGATAATGTACGCAGCCCATTGAAAAAACACTCCGCAAATGCGGATAATGTACGCACTGGATTCTCCAGCAGCAAGATTTCCCCGAAGTACTCAAAGAAGGATTCCATCATAACCAGCCCGGTGGACCGTGCAAAGCCATTGGCCAGCTACGTTCCGTCTGCGGCACAATCGAAAACACCCCGTTCTGTACCAACTCAGGCGAAGTCAGCCGTCCACGCGGATGACCGATCAAGGAATCTGGGTACTGGAGTTGGTCACGCGAAGTCGGCTGCTGAGTCACCCGCAAGAGCATCGGTTGCCTCCCGTGGCTTACCGCGCAGGGCGGAGTTGGACAGGGAGGGCAGGCCAAGCACGTACAGGGCTTCTCTAGAACGTTCCCCCACCGCCGCAGAATCCGTACCTCGGGAGGGAAGAGCATCTCGAGTGCGGTCGCTGGGGAATAATCTTATTTCTTATATGGCGGATCGCCTGGACATGCTATTGGTGGATGAGGAGGAACTGGAGCGAAAACAGGCGAGTGCATCGATTATTCAGCGCGCGTATCGTGTTTACAGGGCTCGTAAGCTTTTGAAGGACATGCGGGAGAATCGCGGAAGCAATAATGTGCTGCGTGAAATTAGAAGGGCGATGGCGACTCGCAAAATTCAGAGATGGTTCCGAAGACGGTTACACGCAAGATGGGGGACTCGCCGGCGTGTCGCAAAGCGGGAAGTTCTTGCCAGTGAACAACATAAGGCGGCTATACGCATCCAGAGTAAGGCTCGAGGCTGGCTTGCACGACGCAAGTTTAGACGAATAAAGAATTATGAAAAGAACTCCGGTCATGCTGCACTTAAGGTACAGTCGTGGTGGCGGCAAATTCTCGCAAAGAGGAGGTTGGCGACGCTGAAGAGACGGTACGCAAGCGCAAAAGCCATTGCCGTTGAAAAGGAACGCCGTGAGCTCGCTGTCACAGTAATACAGAGTCACTGGAGGAGACGAAGGGCAGAGCAGGAAACAAGAGTGGAGAGAATGAAGGCCAGAGAGCTTCGACGTAGAATTAATGAGGCTCGCCGGCGAAACGCAGCTGAGAAAATCAAAACTTGGTGGCGCCTGCTTGTTGCCCGCGCGGAGCTTCAGCGTCTGAGGGAGGCACAAGCGGCCCGCGAGGCGCGTCTTCGAGAGCACCAACGGAAGATTGACGCGGCGACAAAGCTCCAGGCATTTGGACGGATGCTCATCATAAAGAGGGAGGCGGAGCCACTGCTGACAACGGCCCGCTTGAATGCGGCCCGCGCCATTTGTACAAGAGGTGCGGAATCTCAGGCGGCGTCGAAGATTCAACGCGCCTTCCGGGGCTACCACGCCAAGCGGCAGCTCAAGAAACTTCGCAGAGAACGCCGAAGAAGGCTTGAAGAGGCGCGGTGGGGTGCCCTTGTGACGGTTGTACAGCGGGTTGGTCGCGGCTTTCACATCCGACAGAAACTTGGCCGCACTCTGCGAGAGATGAAGTTGGCGGCGATTGAGTTCTGTCAGAGAGAGCGGGCACTTGAACTGGCGGATCGCGCGCGGGAGTCGACTTTTTCTGAGCCTGAACCAGCGATGATTTTTACGGTTCGGGAAGAGTGCAACGCTCCAGCGCTTTGTCAGCCCCTTGCCAATGTTTTGGAAGGGACGGAGACGCTTCTTCCCGTCTCCGATTCGCTTTCTAAAGATGTAAATAACATGGAAGAAATCCCAAAGGAATTGGGCGCTGCAGTGCCTGATACAAAGAAAATTATTAGAATGGAGGAGACTCCAAGGGAAGAACACAGTACAGATCTAACTGAGGCAGTGCAGACACACCGACAGAAATGGGAGATATGTCAAGACGGAGGAGTGCAGAATGAATGCCCGGAGATGACAGCTGATGAAGGAAAACCTTTTGGTCCGCAGAAAGCGGACGTTCTGCTGATGAAAGTTGAGGGAGGAAATGAGACGCGGTCAAAGGTTTCGAATGTGTTACAGTATCAATCTGGAGAAGAAGGAGTCTTTCCGACCGTCCCCTCAGCTGTCTCTGAGGAAATGAAACACGAAGAAAAGGCAGAAGAGGAGCCATTGCAAGAACAGGGGAAGACGGAGCACTCAGAAACTGAATTTATTCGCGAGGAGGGGGAGCGGCTAAAGAGACTTTCGGCTGCCATCTGCTCATGGGAGGAAGAAAAGCTACGGGAATTGGCAAAGGCAGAAGAGGAGCCATTGCAGGAACAGGGGAAGACGGAGCACTCAGAAACTGAATTCATTCGCGAGGAGGGGGAGCGGCTAAAGAGACTTTCGGCTGCAATCTGCTCATGGGAGGAAGAAAAGCTACGGGAATTGGCAAAGGCAGAAGAGGAGCCATTGCAAGAACAGGGGAAGACGGAGCACTCAGAAACTGAATTCATTCGCGAGGAGGGGGAGCGGCTAAAGAGACTTTCGGCTGCCATCTGCTCATGGGAGGAAGAAAAGCTACGGGAATTGGCAAAGGCAGAAGAGGAGCCATTGCAGGAACAGGGGAAGACGGAGCACTCAGAAACTGAATTCATTCGCGAGGAGGGGGAGCGGTTAAAGAGACTTTCGGCTGCAATCTGCTCATGGGAGGAAGAAAAGCTACGGGAATTGGCAGCACTTGAGCAGAGGCTGGCGGAACGGGAGTTGCGCATAGGCACTCAAAAGCTCGGGGACTCCGACGCCGCCGTGGACGTATCCGGGACAGGGTCATGCGTAACACCAGATGCTGCAGTGTGTCGTACGTCTACACCGGAATCATCATCCACACCTGTGCATATGCCCTTGTCCACGTTGGCGCCGACATCTTCACGGGAGGAGGGAGCTCGGAAGTTGGGCAGCTTAGAGGAGGCGTTGGCCATTGAACGAGAGAAAAGACGGTGCGCTATGGCGAATGAGAAACGTCTTCGCGAGGCACGTGATGCAATTTGCATAAAGGCGAATGAATACCGTCTTCGGAAAATTGCCGCGGCTGAGAGCCCCGAAGAATTGAAGTCACTCGTCCCTCACCCACCTCTTACTCGCCGCCGGAAGGATTTGAGGACACCCACACCGACTTACCCCGTCCCTTCATTAACGGATCTGCAAATACGGCGGGAGCAGCAAGCGTGGAATGCGGAGAGGAAGAAGGAAATGGCTGCCTTGAACATCACTCGTGTGGCGCGCGGCTATCTTTGTCGTCAGTACTTTAGGGCGTTGAAGGCAATAATGATGGAATACGTGGAGTACAGGTTGGATATAGATAGAGAGGAACCTCCCGTGCTGGATCACGAATTGCTGGACCGTTTTACCAGGAGGTACCGAGGAGAGGTGGAGCAGGCGCGTCTTGAGCGGTGCATTACCACCACACAGGCATTTACGCGTGCTGCGGGAAGTGTGATTATGATTGCCAACCGCATGGGTGTTCTGAAAAACCCGCAAGCTATTTCTTCAACGGCCCATTATCTTGATAATCATTCCATGACGTCATTGAAGGGCTTCTTGCGTATTGTTTTGGCGAAGAAAGAGATTGCAGCTCGTAAGCAGGCTGTACATGGTGCTTTGCATCAATTGAGGCAAGTCGAGGCCACTGCCACGCTGAATGATTTTGCATGTGTGGTACAAGCCAAAACTGATCGTATGGCACGTGGTCGGGCAGTTCGTGATTATTTACAAGAAATGGAGGATAGGGATGCCGTTCAGATGAGGGCCGTCGACAAAATTGTAAGCTTTTTGCTTTCATTGGCGGCAACAAAGGAGCTTTCTCTCCGTAAAAAAGCATTTAGGGAACGCGTTCAAACTGAGGAGGCCGCCAGAAAGGTGCTTTCGTTTATGCAGATATGTCACGCCAAAAAACAATTATGGAGGCTACGGTTGATGGCAGGGGAAAAACGCACGATGGACACCAATGCCGAGGAATTCCTGGAGCATGCGGCGATGCAGGTGCAGCGTGCGTACCGCTCTTACAGGGCACGCCGACTGGCGGAGGAGCAGCGTAATGCGAAAGAGAAGTACTGGAATACCATACAAGCACAGGAAGAGGAGATTACGGCGGCCATGACTGCCATTGCTGCAGATGCGGCTGATCCGACGGAGCTGTGGGCTAGCCTTGGCTGCCCCGTCTCTGGGGAAGTGGCGTCGGAACCGGACTCGGATGTGGAGGAGTTGGTGCGGTGTGTGGTTCTGGTTCAACAGTGGGCACGAGGCTGGATTGCGCGGCGGCGTGTAAATGAACTTTGTCAACGACATGAACGGATATTCTCAAACTGTGGGAAGCAGGAGGAGGATGAAACTTCTGGCAATGAAAGTGATCATGAAGCGTAGTTGTAAAATAAATTTCCTATTCTCATCTCTTTCTTTTTAAAAAATTTTCTAAATTTTTTGAGTTGCCTTGCATTGTTTTTATTTTTGCTTTTGTTTCTGTTTCTTTGCTCCATGTATGCGGTGTGTGTGATTGAGAATGAATATGCATTGAGGGCGAGGAGGAGGGGTGAGAGGTCATGTAGAGTGTATTTAACCCCGCATTCCCTTTCCTCACCTCATCCTCGTATCATTGACCATCGAGGAGTTCTCCTGCGGGGGGGGGGATCTTCTTGTAAAACGTCACTTTGTACCCAATTGATCCACACATTCAAAGAGGGTGAAAATTTAAAATGTGAATTTTTTTTTTTTTAATCGCCTCAATTGGGGCTCACTCAACGGCGGCTGCTTCTTTTTTTTTTTTTTCCTCCTTTTTTTATTTTAATGGGTTTGGGGGGCACCATTTAATCCCCCACCCCACTCTCTTCTTCACTACCGTGGACGGCGGCTTGGGCTTTGGCCTCACACACAGTCTTCTGGCGTTTTAGTAAGAAAAAAAAAAAAAAGGCGGCAGGAATGCTTTTTGAGCCCTCAGGTGTGCTCCGCTCGGACTACGGGGCTTACTGCCATGCCCTTGGCTTCACAGAGCGGGAGGAAGTGTACCGCTCCATTTTTACCAGCGAGGAGCGAAGGCAAGAGAAGGAAGTCAAATACCTCGAGACGCACTCTCCTTCTGATGCTGACACCAATGCGGATGCGGCGGCTTTTTTGTCATTCTCGCAGAAACAATCCACAATTGCCGCTGCCACTGCCGCTGTTACCCCCAACACAGTGAATACCACTGCTGCTAATAATACACCTGCTTCTGCTGGTCGTAAAGGACGTAAAGCTTCGAATGTGAGTGCGAAAAGCAAGAAAAAGGGTGCGGCGACGGAGGATCCTGCAAAGGCCTTGGAAAACGCAGCTCCACTGACGCTTACGTTTATCGTGATGCGTCAACTCAAGTTCTGTCTCAACAGGCGTGACATGAAACCTTTAGCGCTTGCGATACCACATTGCGTCTCGCTTGTCTCGGTTGAGTTTGTTGGCTGCGGTTTGTCGGAGGAGAGCTATTTTTTGCTCGTGGAGGCGCTTTACAAGAGTCGCCGTGTGGCCTCTGTGACGATTGACTTCAACAGCTCCTCCAATCCGGGATTCTATGTGGATCCAGTCCTCTCTCCTGGGGCAACCTTCCAAACGGCAAACCAGACGACAGTCGTGTCGTTTACTGAAGTGACGCCAGAATTGGCGTTGAGCCAACCGACCACTGATTCCTTGCCGGGGAGTCCGCGGCGCTCTGTCGTGCTGCGCAGTGGGGGCCCCACGCTTCCCGGAGAGAATTTACTGTCATTGAAGGAACAGTCCGGCTTAGAAGGACCCACCTTTGCTCCCTCAGAGTACAGAGGCTTGCGAGGCGTGCTGCTATCGCTCGAACAACAATCTCGCGAGGAGAAGGGGCGGAAGGGAAAAGTTGACTCAAAGAAGCAGACGCAGCTACAACAGCAGCTGGATAGCCTTGCGCAGATTGACAGGGAGAACCCCGTCACTGTGCCGCGTGGGTGGGCCTCGATGCTGCTGACGGGTGTAAAGCATCTGAGCCTGCGGGGGAACGGTATAACAAGCGAGGATGTTGCATTAATGGCATCGCTGCTGCTTCGTCATCCGCGTAGTGAACTGGTTAGCCTTAATCTGTGGGGCAATCGCATTGACGATGAAGGCGCTGTGGCTCTCGCAAAACTACTGAAGGAAAACCGTACATTACAGGTGCTAGACTTGGGCCATAACGATATTGCGGACGTGGGAGTTCTCACCTTGGTGGATTGTTTTTGCATGCAGGAAATGCCGCTTGAATGGCTGCCGGGTTATCGCAAGCGACAACTTTTGCGTCGCGATGCGACCGCGCGAGAGCGGCAGCTGGCGTCAACGCCGCCCCCAACGTATCCCAGTTATCAGGAACTTTACACGGCGTGGCATCAAGCCAAGTACCCTGCTCTTGCTGAGGAAAAGAAGGAATCCAAAAAGGGAACACAAACGAAAACCAAAAAGGCAGAGCCTGTTTTGGTGCGTCCAACGTCGCCTTTTGACCGTGATTGCTTTCGCATGGAGAACGCTGTGCGTGTGCCTGGCAATACCGTCTTGCGTTGTGTTAATCTGGGAAACAACCCGCGGGTGACACTGGACGGCGCGCGCGAGGCACTGCGTGTTTTGTCTCTACATGAGCCTTCAGACGATAAAGAGATGTCAGCGCTGCAGAACTGTGTGGTGCAACCACCGGAGCTTTACTGCGCCTCCATCAAGTTACACACTTTTGTGATTTTGCACGACGGTGATCCCGGCCTGCGGGCGGTGCAGAAGGAACTGAGCGATATGCTTTACAAGCGTCTGCTTCTTTTACCGCAGGCTCCTGCGGAGACCGAAGTGCCAGGCGATGACCCTAAAAGGAAGTCCCCTCGCGCTAAGAAGTGAGCAACATGTGTGTTCCAATGGTGCCATTGTCCAATGTACATAGACTCTGGATTGGGATGGATGTGTGCATGAGGGGGGAGGAGAAGAAAAAAAAACAACAACAAAATTTTTATGACGGCGGTTCTTTAGGGAATTATTTATTTATTTTTATTATTATGTTGAACTCTTTTTTTTTTTTTTGCTTTTATAAGTTTTGTTCCTGCGGTGGCGTTTTTTTGAATAGCAAAGGGATAATGTCGTGGCGGGCACGTTTCACGCCAAGTGTGGCGTCACTTACCGTATGGCTGAATCCGAAGGACCCGAACTGCTTTGGCGTGCGTAACTGGTGGCGCAACAACCTCCCAGAGCTGCAGTTGCTTAACCCGTCCTGCACTTTTACCATCCAGGAGCTGTCATTTGGCGAGCCGCACATGTACATCAACTACACCCCTACGGACCAGCGAATGATCCGTCTGGCAGGCGCCACAGAGGAGGAGTGTGAGGATATTATGGAGGCATGCATTACTTACGGCATGAACCATGCCGTTATTGAACGCCCGCGCACTGATGATGGCGGTGACTTGGTGAACCAGCCCGCCATCATTTCATTTGGCTACACGGAGAGTTTCATGTCCAAGCTAGAAGTATCTCCTCCAGCAGAAATAGGTCAGCGGACACCGGAGGGTGTGGACGACCCCGGCCAGAAACCCCGCATGTACCCTCGGAATGTCGGCTGCAAGCTCATGCCGTGAGGATAAAATTAACTCCGAGGAGAGAGGGGATGGGCGGAGTGAGGGAACAGGACAGTATGAGTAGTAATATTACCGGCAGTGTGGTTCAACGGTGGTTGACTGCGAGGGGGAAAGAAAAAAAGAAAAAACAGGTGCTTTTTTTTTGTGTGGTTGGGGGAGATTAGTTTTGCAAGGGGATATGATTAGCGTTAGCACTGCACACCTGTGCATTTAAAACAGAAATACATCATGAAACAACAACCGCGAAACCAAAAGAGTATCAGCGAGTCGCACTTTTTCGGGCCGACTGGATGAATTGGACGTAACGTTTTTGCCGTTCTGTTTCTGCGTGTGTGTGTTTTGATTTTTTTACACTCTTTTTCACTTCTCTCTCTTTTTTTTTTTTTTCTTTCTATCGCACATGTGCACTTTTTTGTGCGCGGACGAGAACATGCGTTTTCTTCTCTTTTTTCTCTGCGTGCGCAGGATTCACCACTTACTCTTACCAACCTCCTCTTCCCAAAACAACAACAACAACAAAACGTGGATGCCTTTTTTTTTTTTTTTTTTTGTATTGGGCGTGCTGTCGAGGTCACTGCGCGTGTTTTTACTGGGCAAGGTGTGGGCCGCTCTCCGTGGCTCGTAGGAAGGGAAATAATACCACAGCCTCACATACAGACAGGGCGAGGAAGAGAGGGGAGGCGGAGGGACGGGAAGGATGGGCGGTCCCTTTGAAAAAATGGCGAGGGACGTCGCCGTGCGGATGCGGTCCAAAGTCCACAAGCAGAGTTTCAGCAATGCTGTCATGCGGGCGCAGGAGCGTAAGTTGACTCCTGCGGGACGTCTGGCCGTGGAGCGGGTGGCGGAGCTCGTGGCGCTGCAACAACGGCACCAACAAACATTTGACCCCGCGCTACGAACGGAGGCGATGCAAATTTTGCGCACCCTTCCACTCCTTTCCACCGACGAGGACCCTCTATTTGTGCAGACGCAACGTGCACTTCGCGTTGCCGCCTACTTTGACGCCGCGAGTCTTCCCGCCACCTACGCGCTCATTAACCAGCACACCAAGAACGCCTTTCTTTTGGACGCGGTGGCCATGTCGTCATTCTTTTTCACTTTGTCAAGCTTGAGGCACCCGCAGACGGCGGACATCATCGCGATTTTGCTGCCGCGGTTGAAAGAGGTGGCACCGGAGATAATTCCACGAGAGGCCAGTTATATTCTCCGGGTTATGCACCGCGCCGGTGTGGGGGACGAAAAACTCACACGAATTCTTACCGACACTGTTGTCAAGACGGTGGCTGACACTCCACTTGCGGATGTGCGTCAATGTGCCCTGATGCTGGCTGAGACTTATCCTGAAGAAGCCAAACTTGTTCTTATCGCGGCTGAAAAACGGCTCTGCAACGAGATTGAGCTCACTGAGGACGCAGATGAGGTCAAGGGAATAATCCTAGATGTGTGCCGAGTGGTGTCTTTGACATGCAGCGGCCCACGTGAGCTTTTTAACAGTATCGCTCGACGCTCAATGGATTTGGCACCGCAGCTTAAACCACTTGAGATGGCGTATATCTTGAAGACATTTCATATGGGCTCGTACCGTCATTTGCGACTAATGCGAGTATTGTCCTCGTCACAGGCTTCACATCTAACAGAGTCAACTGGATCATTGAGGGACCTCACACCAGTTGCTGTATCCATGACCGTGCAGGCACTGGCACACTTCTATGTTGTGGGTTGCGAGGAGGTTGTAGTGACGCTAGTGAACGCGGTGATAAATTCGTTGGAGGGACTTAATTTTGCCCTTACGATGGTCTCTTGTGTCCGACTTCAGTGTGTTTCACCGGGTGTTAAAAAAGCCACAGACCTGCTGTGCGGTGCACCGCTACAAAGATACACTCAGCATCCTCACAGTATACAAGTAACAAGTCGTCTCATTTATGCTCTTTCACAGGCTGGTCGATGTGTTACTGCGGAAGAAACTTCAAACCTTCAACTCTTGTTGCGGGCCGCGTTGCGGTTCCGTTTCCCTTTTCCAGATGACACTCGGAGCTTTTTTTTGGATGCGGTGGCCACTTTGACTGCAGATAGTCGCTGTGTCGATGACAATTTGAGGAAGCTTCTTTCAAAGACTCGGGAGCGGTTGTTGCGAGTTCACAGAGATGGCTCTGCACTTTCTTAATTTAGCGGAGAAAAAAAGTTGCGTGTGTGATGTGCTTCTGTGTGTGAGTGTGTGTGGAGGGTGTGAGGGTTAGGGAAGAACAACGCACGGACCAAATCGCACGGGGGAAGGGGGAAACGCAGATAGATACTAAAAAAGTAAGTGTCTTTCTCCATCTCCATCTCTCTCTCGGTGTGTGGGGGGCGAGTGACAACTTGCCACTTTTCTTTTTCTTGGCTTTGCGTTGGTTTATTACTTAACTTTTTTTTTTTTTTTTTTTTACCCTTCTTTCAGGAATTCTCGTTATCAATCATGTTCGCCGACAGCGCTTTGATGAGTCCTGACTTTGACGAGGAGGCGTACCTGCGCTACGCCCTTCATGACCCCAACTGTCAGGCAGAGCAGGCCCGTCTCGCATCGTGCGTCAAGGCCGTACGGGAGGAAGTTCACAAAATACTCTCGGAGAACGCGGAAGACATGCTGCAGCAGGTCACGGCGGCCTGCCGGGCACAGCGAGACGTTGCTGCGGTGCGTCAGGCTACATTTTCCCTCATGGGCTCCACTAACAGACTCCGGCACACGATTCAGGAGCCCTATCGTGTCATCAGTGCGAACATCACGAAGTTGGGGAACATGAACGCCGCCATAAATATCCTGCGGAGTATTCTGAAGTTTATTGGTCTTACCACGCGTCTGAAGAGTCAACCTTCCCAAGACCTTGCCCGGGCCTCGCGCACACTGCGGGAGGTGGAGGAACTGCTTCAAACCAGCAACATTAAAGGGATAGAGGTGGTGGATAACCGCATTGACACTGTAGAGCGAGCCGCGGTCACAATTCGTACAAAGGCTCAGGAAATGCTGCGACACGGGGATGCTCAAGATGCATCTGGTGTGGCCATTTCTTTGCAATGCCTCTTTACTCTGGGTCTTCTTCCTCGGGTGCTCGGTAGCCTCATGACAGAACAGAAGCGTGAGGTGATACGCTCGCTCATGAGGGACTTGGACCCGCAAACGATTGTTGATGAGGTGAATCATGGAGGGAGCAGCGCCACAAACGACATGAATCTTCGAATGCGTGAAGTTCTCTTTTCACGTA